TCGTTCAACCCACGAGCAGATTCCTCCATTAACACTACGAGTGCATTGATCGATGCATCCCTGCGGTTCCTTTTGTATTCTGACAGCGGCTGCCGGCCCCTGTCAGAATACCCAAACACAGCTTATTGGCTGCTGGTTTTCCCACCGGCTCTTTCGATCAGCTGACCAAGAGATGCTGGCCCAAAGGGTGCCGACAGTGACACCCACTGTGCAAATTTCATCCAGTTCTTCAAGAACCAGCCAAAATTTGCAGTGTATGGCCACCTCTAGGGTATACAGCCCATGTGGTTGGTTTTTGTACAGGTAACAAGAGTCCACACAGAATTTCATATTAAACTGGGTGCAACTAGTTTTATTGCATTTTCAGCATTGAATAAACAGATAGCATTCAAAAAACAAGGTCAAGCCCTAGCCTTTCAAGCACTAAATACCCAGTTCAAGTCTTTGAGGTCTACAAACCAATAGCATCGCTCTCTCTGCTGGCCAACACAGCCTGTTTCTTCTCCAAAGACTGTGAAGGCAGATGCTTTCTCTATAAAGGTTTTAATGCGGATTCATTGACACACTGATCTTTGTAATACCTGATTTCTCATGCAGCAAACAACTAAACCCTGGAGATTGTGCCATTTTCAGTCCTCGAATGTTTCCATTTCATGAGGAAAGGGAAGATCTTTTAACTCCCGAAATGCATTGAATGTCCCCTATTGTCTGTGCTCTATGTTGGACTCTCAGGCCTTTCTTTAGCCTGCTCACTGCACCTTGTACACCTGAATCTTCAAATCTGGGCCACTGCTTTTGGGAAATCCCATTTTTGTTGAGAGCAACCTAACCAGGGACAGTGTGTCTTATTGCAATCTGATTGATCTTATGATCATTTTAATCCAGTAGCCTTGTTTCTCCTGGCTTTCTCTGTAAAGCAGCAGTCGCCAACCTTTCGGACCTCATGGACCACTAAATTCATCATTTTAAATCCCGCGGACCACTAATATAATTTAAATATATATATTCTCAGATTTTTTTTGTTTCCTCCTATATAAATATATTTCAGCACTGCCCCAACCACCCCCGTGCCTCCCCTTCCCACACACTGAGCCACTGTTACCTGGCTTCTCCCCACTTTCTTTGCGACAGCCGCTGCTTGATCCAGTGAGAGGCAAAAAAAAATCTTTTTCCCGGGAGTTTGTCTTCAGTGGAGAGTAATCTTAGAGAAATGTAAAGCACTTTCTTGCATTCCAGTGCTTTTCCCAGTCCAAAAAATGGCTATGGGCACGTGTCACTTCTAGACAAATAAACTTTTATCAATCATTTTAAACTGCACAAGGGAAAACCAGTAATTTAAACCCCATCCGGCTTCTTTCAAAAAATTCTGCATCTCTAAACCTGTTTTGTATTTTGCTATCATTAGTAAAGCTTATTTGGCTAAACTTAACCATAAAAATGTTTCTTTAAAACGTTAGAAATTGTTAAGATGTAAACTGAATTTCCACTTTTGCAGCCAAATTGGAATAACGCCCATTTTATATTATTCACATAGCATAACTTAAGGTTAGCAGGAATTTTTTTGTGTGCTTTACTACCTAGCTCCCCTTTATGTAATGTTAAGGAGGGGGCTGGAGAAGTTATGTTTACTCTAATAAACCCCATATGTACTGCACTGGCAGATTTAATTATCACTTGTAAACTAGATTTAAACACTGAGGGGAATTTATCAAAACTGGAGTAGCTGTGCATGGCAACCAATCAGCTTCTCGCTTTCATTTTCAACACTTTACTGAATAAACTGAAGAGAGAAGCTGATTGCTTGCCATGCACAACTGCTCCAGATTTTGTCTGGTTTTGAAAAATTCCCCTCTGTCTGTCCTAACAAAGTGTTAAAGCCTCTGAGGCATTGCATGTTAATGAGAGGGAGGAACACTATAGATTTTGACCCTGTTCACACCTCAACATTTTGATGCTCAAAGATAGGAGCAACAAAACCCATTCATTTCAATGGCACCTGTTCACACCTGAGCGTTTTGTTGCGAGCTGTAAAACACAGAATGCTGAAACACAGCACATTTTTACACATTTCTGTGCACGCTTTTGCGAGTGCTTTTCCATTGACAGCAACGTCTTTCGCGTGTCATATGCTTGCATCTAGCAAAACAAATGACAAACGCACTCAACAAATTGTCACCAACTATACAGTAAGGTGCACATGAAATAGGCTTCAAACAGTAAACGCTGTGCGGCTTTCACATTTTCTGCAGAAGACGTGTATCCAAACCTCTGTTATTAACCTTACTGGTGAGACAAGTTTTTTTACATGCTGACTTGTGAGTATGCCATGATGCCTTTCTACTGTTTATATGCTTGCATCTAACACGTGCAAAAACGCGCTAATATGCACGAAAATCCTGACGCCTAGCTGTGAACGGAGCCTAACGCTTAAACTACTCACTCAGAGTAGCTTGGAATTTCCACAAAGGCCTTCACTAAATAAATACTGGTAAGAAATATACAGGATTAAAAAAATTTTTTTAGGTATGTTGTGTGAATGGGAACACAAACATAGTGGGGTTCTCAAATTTGACAGCAAAAGTGGAAATACATTTTAAGCATCCATCTAAAATTTCAGAAAGATCTAAAGGGTTCATACATTCTGAAAAATGCTGCGATAAATAAGCTTGCGGGTTCTTCAAAAACCCATTGGACTTAAGTGGCAGGATATCTTTACTAGATTTTCTGGGACTTCCCCTACTACCATAGAGCTTCATTTCTTCTGTATTTAATTTAATGTAACGCGTTATAAAGGAAAAGCTGAGTTGGAGTGAGACTTCACTCTAAATGCCACAGCAGTCAAATAGCCTTGGAATTCAAAGCAGAGATCCTACTGTTGAAGTTAGGGTGGATTTAGTCCACCACCACCAACACATATGAGTTTCGGGTGGATTGACCCTTTAAAGTGAACATGTAAATACAGCAATAGGGCAGTAAGGTGTAGTCTCCTGGGCTGTAATCCTGATCTGTTTATCTGATATTGGGATCTTAACATAATGGAAGCGCAATGACCTCATCAGTTATGTATTGTCCCTTCTCTGTCCAATCAATGGGCTGGAGCCTGATTGGTAACATTGCTGAATTTCTTAAAGGGGAAGTGAACCCTAGAAACCGTAAAAAAAAAAAAAAAAAGGACAGTAAAGTACTAGTCATCACTAATGCATGTGGTCTTCCTGCAGCTCTTTTCCAAAATCCCTTAAAGCAAATCTTTCCTTTTTTTTTTTGTTCAGGTCCACTTTAAATGCACTGGGGAAAAACAAGATCACCTAAAAATATCAAGGTCTGCTATTGCTAAGGGGTGATTGGATCACAAAGTGTGCTAAAGAGAATGCCAGATCGATTCTGATTAAGAACAATTAGACCCTTTTACAATAAAATATATCATCTGTAGACATTGCCCAGTCTTTAGGCTGTACAGATTTTATAGCAGCCCCCCAATGTGTTTTCAGCCATAACCCCCCAGCTTATCTAATATATGTTCTGATGCTAGAGTGTTCTCTGTTGCGATTGATGTCCTGTTGGTTGATTATGATTTTCCAAACATTTAAATGAGTGAAAAGGCAAATGTGGCATTGGCTCTTCCCCAGCTTCACATACATGAACCCTGTACTTTGACAATTTGTGTACCACTTTAATATTTTGGCTCTTACCTACTCACTAACCTGGGATTATACTGATCCTCATGGTCAGCAATGCCAAGTAATAACGTTGTCTTTTTTACACCCAAATTCAAGAGATTGTCAGAATTAAATATTCAGGGGGGAATTTATCATAGCAATTGCGAGTGTTTGAACTTGCACAGAATATATTTGCCCCAAATTTATGATGCTAGTGTAATGATGTTCATAATATCAGCGGCTTGTGAGCCGCTGATGACAGCTATTAATTTAAAGGGGACAGTCTGCTAAACAGTTCTACTATAAGCTGATGGTCGCTAAAGCGACCATCATAGTAGAATGATAGTAGAACTGTAAATGCCAGGTCCGTATGGCATACTGACCTGGCCAGCTGGAAGCACTTTTGTAGGTCCGTATGCCATATGTCCTTGGCAGCGAAAGGGTTAATAGATTCCAGGAAAGAAGACTCGTAACTCCAGGCAAAAAGCTTAACTGTCTCTTCTTGAAGAATTGGTCATGGGGACTTCTTAAGTTGCGATTGTTTTCTTAGATGATGCTCCAGTTTCAGACAGCCCCAGAACAAGTGCAGATGAAAGCAGGTGCAAAAACCGTGCAATCGAAAAACTAGTGCAAGCTCAGGTGAAAACAGGGGCACATGTTATAAGACAGATTTGCACAAATAATCTAAAAAGGTGCCCATACAATGCACGATTATCGTATGAGAATCGCGGGAAATCCCGCGATCGTACGATAATCGCAAAGTGTATGGAAGGCATGCGACCGTTTCTAGTGTGCGGTCGCACGTCTTCTGTTGAACAAGCAGGCTGAAAAACCTGCCGAGAATCGTACGATTCTCAGAGAGTTAGTGGCCTGCTTGTTGGACAACTGCCGAATGGGGCGGTGTGCCTGTCCAAGATGGCCAGATCGTACATTTTTTTGTCTTGCAAGGGTTGTAAATTGTATGGCCACCTTAAGAGGCTAAAACTGTTGCAATTGCTTTGATAAATCCCCCCCACCCCACAGTGTATGTCATACCACATTCACTCATTTTGGTCAGTATGTTCCAAGTTTCTAGCATTTGCTTTTAAGCAATGTCCAGTTTTTGCTTCTGTAAACTGATGAGCTAGGAGCATTGACTACGACATTAGACTCACCGTGGGCCACATTTACTTTAGATTTAGTACACAAGTACATCTATGAGATACTTGTAATTCTGAATGTCATTTCTTTAACAATCACATAAAAGAAAGAGCAGAAGATCTTATTACAAGATATATTTAGCATAAAACCACTTGCCACCTTTCTAAAAACACATACATACAAAACTGGGGACAAAGATGTCAATAAGAAATACAGATACATCTAAAGCTCTATAGGAAATGTATGTACAAGAGAAGGTCCATAGAAGACAGTCCTGGTTTCTGTCACTCCACTACTAGATCAAATTTTTCAGCTTCTTCAAACTGGGCATTCAGGGTAGCAGCCCATTCATCAAGATCAGATTTCTGGAAAAGAGGAACAGAAATAACGGCATTATAGACAAGTTACCAGATAAAAACTTTAACACACAGCTGGAGGCTAAACGCTGACCAGATACTACAGCATATGGGGCTGCCATTGCAACTTATAAAGGTGCAGATACTCAGCTATCCATGCTTAAAGCGGACCTTCACACTCAAAAATCAAAATTCTACCAATGCATCCCCCTATGTATGAGGATTAATAATAACAGACATGTCAGGTATAAAATGCTGTGATTTTGAAATACTTGCACTTGCAGAGCATTCACTTCTTGCTTTGAAAGGGCGAAAAGACTTGTTTGCCAAAACAATGCACACTGGGATTGCCTTGTCATCAAGCAGAGCATTGCTGGGAAATCTCATCTGTAGTCTCACGAGATCTCAGGGAAAGGCATTTTTCTCCCCTGATGTGCATAGTCACATGTAGGGATGCACCGAAATGGAATTTTGAGACCTTTGGGGGGCTCTAGGGAAAGATTAGGGGTCAAAAAAGACTCCTGATATATCCCTTTTAAAATAGAAAAAGAGATTGAAGACACAGAGACCTCAATCTCTTTCTGCAGGCCCTGTTATAAATTAACAGGAAGCCTCTATACTGAGTGCTCCTGTTCATTCACACATTGTGGATATATTATACTTACTACGTCCACAATCATGAATGAATAGGAAGTGATGTCTCCATAAAGGGGACCTGTCACATAGGGGGGTTTCTTAGCCCCCTCTGTAAAAGCAATAAAGTTTAGCGGAAAAAAATGAGTTTCCAAAATTTTTTTTTTAAAGTTACACATAAAAAATTATTTAAAGAAACAAATTTTTTAAAAAGTCGCCACCCATACATACACGCATGCAAACATGCGTCAGGTGCGCATACCGGCAAAAACGACGATTGCGTCCATTACGCCGCACTTTACATATCGCCGCGAACGTCGCAGTGAGAGCAATAATTATAGGACCATCAATCACCGATAACACTAAACGGATAAGCTGTAAACGCTTTTAAAGCGTCGCCTATGGTCAGGGCTTGAAAAATTTGATGGTGTCTCACCAGTCAGTCAAAAGTTTCACCAGTCAGCATGACCGGACTATAGCCTTGCAATTTAAGTAAAAAAAATTTGGGGACAGATAGAGCTTTCTTTTGGAGGTATATAATCACCACTGGGGGTGGGGTGTTATTTTTTTTTATTATATGATGAAAAAAGTACCATAAATGTAAAACAAAAAACAACAATGTTTCCCTACGTTATGTTATAAAACATTTATTCTTAAATAGACACCAAACATGTCAAGCCTTAAAATTGCGTGCGCCCGCAAAAAACGCCCATAGGCGACGATTAAAACACTTTTACTGCTCATCAGTTTAGTATCAACAGTGATTAATGGCTCTAAAATTATTGCTCTCACTCCGCCGTCTGCGGCGATATTTAACATGTGCGGCACAATAGGCGTTTTCGCACGTAGGCGCACCCAACTCATATCTGCGTGTGTATGTGGGGGGTGGGGACTTAAAAAATGTTTTTTTTCTTTTTTGTACGATTCTTTAATTTTAGTATTACTTTTTTTTTTTTACACACAGCTTTATTGCTATTACATAGGGGGGCTAAAAATCCCCCTATGTAATAGCCAATTTACATGACAGGTCCTCTTTATGGTGGATGAAGCAGAGATCGGCTTCATCAGCTTCTGTAGCTGGAGAGTGACAGTGAATGCAGGAAGTGATGTAATATACATCACTTCCTGCATTCGCCATGAAAAATGGCCTGGTCAGGAAGGGGGTCAAAAACACCTGGTCAGCAAGTGGTTAAAGCTTTTGTCCTCCACGTGGGGCACCGGCGCTGCATTGGAAGGCACACAGACCGGTGCCCAGTGGCGAGGAAAGAAGCTGGGATACACTGAAGAATGCAAAGCCGGCAATTATCTAGAAGTATGTGTTTGTAGATTGTCATTACTAAACATTTCTAAAAGGTGTGTTTGTTGTTGTTTTAAAGATATGGGTAAAGGTCCGCTTCAAAGTTGACCTGGCAGAAATGCATCCATGCCAAGTAATGTGCAAGTATAATATTTATAGGTATTTATTAACGCTTATGGAGATCACAATAGTCCCGCGGACAATTCATGTGCTTCTCTTTCCAGAAAAACAGAGCCATGTTTACTAAGGTGGCATTCAGGGTCAGCATCTACTTCCTGGACTGAGATAACACAGTCATGCATGTAAATCCTGGTGCCTGGGCACTTTTCACAAATATCTAACCATGCCTCTGCATGACTAGTTAGGTCAATAAATTTCAGTGACTAGTAGGAATAAACACACAAGTTAACCAGACCATGTAAACATCAGGGTATGTACATAGGTTGTACCAATGCAATCACTTTAGCATCGCATGCAGTACAAAGTATACATTTTCTATTGACTGTATTCTATTACAAGGCAAATGCATAATCTAACTTAGTTTAATTCTCAGAGGATGTCAGACTCCACCCCCTACCACCTATCCATACACAGAGACATAACAACTAGAATGAACAAACATGAAAAGAATCCTTCAGGTGATCTAGTCATAAGAAAAGAGCTGTCCCTCCAAATCATTGGATTCAGGTGTTCCAATCACCTCCATGGCATTACGTGTATAAAATCACGCACCTCGGCATGCAGACGCTTCTACAAACATTTGTGAAAGAATGGGTCGCTCTCAGGAGCACAGTGAATCCAAGCATGTTACCGTAATAGGTTGCCACCTGTGCAATAAGTCCATCCGTAACATTTCCTTGCTACTAAATATTCCACAGTCAACGGTTAGTGGTATTATAACAAAGTGGAAGCAACTGGGAACAACAACAACTCAGCCACGTAAAATGACAGAGCGGGATCAGCGCACGCTGAAGCGCACAGTGCGCAGAAGTCACCAACTGTCTGCAGAGTCAATAGCTACAGACCTCCAAACTTCGTGTGGCCTTCAGATTGGCACAACAACAGTGCGTAGAGAGCTTCATGGAATGGGTTTCCATGGCCCAGCAGCTGCATCCAAGGCTTACATCACCAAGTGCAATGCAAAGCGTCGGATGCAGTGGTGTAAAGCACGTCGCTCCTGCATTCTAGAGAAGTGGAGACGTGTTCTATGGAGTGACGAATCACACTTCTCCGTCTGGCAATCCGATGTCTGGGTTTGGCGGTTGCCAGGAGAACGGTACTTGCCTGACTGCACTGTGCCAAGTGTAAAGTTTGGTGGAGGGGGGATTATGGTGTGGGGTTGTTTTTCAGGGGTTGGGCTTGGCCCCTTAGTTCTAGTGAAGGGAACTCTTAAGGCGTCAGCATACAAAGACATTTTGGACGATTTCATGCTCTTAACAGTTTGGGGATAGCCCCTTCCTGCTCCAACATGACTGCGCAGCAGTGCACAAAGCAAGGTCCATAAAGACTTAAATTAGTGAGTTTGGGGTGGAGGAACTTGACTAGCCTGCGCAGAGTCCTGACCTCAACCCGATAGAACACCTTTTGGATGAATTAGAGCGGAGACTGCGAGCCATGCCTTCTCGTCCAACATCAGTACCTGACCTCACAAATGCGCTTCTGGAAGAATGGTCAAACATTCCCATAGACACACTACTAAAATTTTGTGGACGCCTTCCCAGAAAAGTTGAAGCTGCTATAGCTGCAAAGGGTGGTCCAGCTCAATATTGAACCCTACGGACTAAGACTGGGATGCCATTAAAGTTCATGCGCGTGTAAAGGCAGGCGTCCCAATACTTTTGGCAAGTGTGTGTATGTGTGTATTAGATGGGAACTTTAAAATCAGGGATGTTAATATCTAATGTTTTGATATAAAGGGAACTGCCCATATTTTTATTCAACTTGACATTTTATGCTCTCCAGCCTAAACCCTTATGGAGGAAGGGAAGGTGCCTGACTCGGGGAAGGGAAATTTTTCCAACACCACCACCCCCGAATGAAATCCCACAGCTTCATAAAAGCCACAAGAGCCCTTGCAATAAGCACAAAGATTCTGATGGAGCTGCCTCTTGCGGGAGGAAACACAAGAACTAAGGCAAGCCCCTGGGCATATGCTTAAATAATCTGTTGGCCTTGTGCTTACTGTTTTTAGGTGGAAGGAGCGTACAGTATCTCACATTTTGCCCTGGGGAAGGACAACAACTAATGAATTTCCTCCAGCAATTATAAGTAGCATTCTGCACAATCGGTAATACCCAGGAATTCTCACCTCTATTTGGGGAGCCTTCCGTTTCCTCCTTTTCTGCTTGGCCAATGGTACTCCAGGAATATTAGGATCTGGTTCTTCCACAGACAGTCTGATTGACTTTCCAATTACACTTTCTATATTTGTCTGTTTTCTTTTTTCTTCATCTCTCTTTTGCTCCGCTTCTTCCTCCGGGCTTTCAGAAGTAAGAAGATTATCAAATCCAAAAAGAGACCTACGCCCTGCTTTTGGGGCTGGGTTTGGAGTGGAAGTATCTGAGGAGTCTGTGTCCCTGTTGGGACTGTAGAGAAATGAGCCGCCGCACATGGACATTTCCAAGCGGCTGTAGGAACGTCGCACTTTCTGAGACATAACTTTTGCTCTGTCATCATAGGAGGGAGACTGAGGGATGTTCAGGGGGATTGGAGACAGGACATCTATTTTAGAAACAAGCGACTGATCTGTAGCTTTATTATGGACATCTTGAGATTTGTCATTGACTGTGTTTTCCTTTTCAGAGTTTGGTGAAATCTGAAGAAATAGTTATAATATAATACAAAGATGTTTAGGAACAAGATATAATATTGTCTGAGCTTAGACTAGAAAATAGAGAAATGGTTACTGAATTGCACTGTACATAGTATGCAAAAGGATGGCATACTTGCAGAACAGAAAAAAAAAACAAACAAAAAAAAACTTACCCTTGAGCTTCTCCTTAGAGCAGGTGTAACACCACTGGAAACCTAAATAGTAAAAGCAAAAAAAGTCAAAATCATTCACATTATCATCTGCTAAAAACCAGCATAATCTTTGAAAAAACATCTGGAGAAAAAAAAAAAAAGGATATACTCAGTTTTGGCTTCTGTGATGACATCCTCCTGTAGATGAGATCCCAGGAAATGGTGAGCACTTGCAGATCTCCTACCTCAAATAATTAAAAAAAAAAAAAGAAAAACATTAACCCTTTGCAGTGGGGCTACCCCAGCACTAGCACCGCAAGGGTTTAGTGCTCGTTTGTGTCTAGGTGCTAAAAAAAAAAAAAGTTATACTCATCAGACCATCCGAGCTGGCTTTGTTCTTAGACTGGTGTCTAGAACATCTCTCCCTCTTTGCTGCAGTGGTCTAACGATCCTGGTCTCATCACGCGCTATACACTGTGCATAGATGTGAGAAAGCCAAGGAGCATTCCATCTGTGCAACAAAGGATGAGACATGCTTCAGTGATCACAGAAGCAGGGAGCCGACTCGGATGGTGTGTATAACCTTTTTTTTTTAGCATTTAGACATAAACAAGCACTTTTTTTAAAAAATTTATTCTGCTTTTTAGTAAGGGCCATGGGGGGGGGTTGTACTTAAAATAGATCTTGCATCTAAAATTCACTGTCTGCTTTTTAAGACTGTCAGATTATACTATGTGATGTATACTTGAAAAGTAATATTCCATCTTGAAAAGCATTGGGTATACTATCTATTGTATATGCAAACACACTTACAACTCTTGTGATAGTCAGCCCCACTGATTAAAAGCTGCTTTGGAAGATAGGTGAGCTCTAAACATGAGGTACAATGTTGCCACGTTGATTTCCCTGCCTAAACACTCATTTAAAAAATCAATCTCCAGTCAAAAGAAAGAGGACGACAGAGAACTATTGTTTCTTATGCAGAGCGGCAAAACAAAACATATATTCACAACATCTCTCTAATACATGCACATTTAAAATACAAATACAGCAAAATACCTGTTGACCTGACAGAAATCCAGTGTGCTCCTTATGTCCAGTTTGTGCTGGACAAGTGCTTCTGCTGTACTTGTCCAGCACAAACTGGACATAAGGGGGGGGTAGAAAGAGATTCATTAAGCAATTATATATGTATTGTCTGCACTGTATTAGCAGTATATACTACATATAGAGTATATACTGCTAATACAGTGCAGACAATACATTTACAATTATACTAACATGAATGTATTAAATGATCTGTATGTAGCCCTGTACTATGGATCATTTAACCCATTCATGTTAGCAGAGGATCATTGTAAATGTATTGTTGCAGGCACTCTATATGTACATGTACTATATACTACATATAGAATGCACTGAACAATAGATTTACAATTATCCTCTGCTAATATGAATGGGTTAAATGATCCGTAGTACATGATATGTAGCCCTGTACCCCCTTTTCCACTTACAGAGCTAGGTTATTTTTCTTTTAAATAAATATTAATGTAATTTTATTGGTATCTATCTACCAGTAGCTGCCTCATTTCCCACCCTCGGCTTATATTCGGGTCAATACTTTTTCCCAGTTTTTTTTGGTAAAATTAGGTACCTCGGCTTATATTCGGGACGGCTTATACTCGAGTATATACGGTACATTGTTTACTTTCCAAGCAAAATAATGCTGCTGCCTTGAGTCCCAAGAGCCTGCCCAATCACTGTGCATAGGGAAGGTCCCTTGGGAGATGTAATTGTAAGAGTGTGCCTACATCAGTAGGAACTGAGCTGAAATGCTCTAGAGGGGGAAGAGGGAGGCTTGGGGGTAAATTTGGGTAATGCCTGGACATACACTTATTGAGGTTGCCGTGGTGTACCTGACACAGCATTTTAATCAGATGATCCTATACTAAGCTTACATAGTTTTATATGCAGGTCTACTGATGCACTTAGAAAAAGCACTTTAATATTTTTAGTTGTGATTCACTGAAGCTACTGGATTGCAGAACACATTAAAACCAAATGCATTTCAACTTGTACATCACAATTGTAAGCAGCCCAGCCAGCTTGTCTTATAAGCAATTCCATTGTTTCTACAACGTATACCAACACTGTATATACAGTAAAAATCTGTACGCCTAGAGACCCCTTGTTGTTTTAATTTTCTTTTCCACAATCTGTTACTCACTTCGATGAGATATATTAGGGGGGAATTTATCAAAACTGGAGCAGACAGAATCTGAAGCAATCAGCATCTCTCCAGTTTGTTCATGTAAGATTTGAAAATGAGACAGAGAAGCTGATTGGTTGCCGTGCACATCTGCTCCAGAATTTGTCTGCTCCAGTTTTGATAAATTCCCGCCGCCCCCCATAGAGTATGCAGATTTGGAGAACCAGACAATATACCTTTGATTTCACTACCAGCTCTGATGGTGTTCATTCGTCAGCATATCAAGGTATTCTTGGATTACACTATTTATATTAGAAGCCTTACCTTAGGGGTAGACTGAGGAGTGGCTACAGCAGTAGTCGGTTGTTGTACAGTGGAGGTAGTTTTGGGTTGAGATTCAGCAGAAGCAAGGGCAGCCTGGAAAAGAAGAAGTTGTGATATGGTTACAGAATTCCTTGGAACTGTAAAGGAATATTCCATACTAAATGAGTATGAGTTGTATAGAGATACAAGAATCAAAATAATACCGAAAACAAGTCTATTGTAATTCAGAAAAATAACCACCATGACTTCAAAAACCGAGATGCACTCTTATGCAAATATTGACTTCCTGCTAAAAAGTCAGCCCTTACTTTGCCCCCTCCCCCCAGCAAAGAAATTATAAACTTAAGCTTTACTGACCTCTTAGGTGTCATGAGAACATGTCAAACCCGTAGATTTTCTGTGGGTATGAACTAAAGTAAACCCGTTATGGTTCCTTGAGAGCCCCTGACACCCAGACAAAATAATAAACTTTCCATAAAAAAAAGTTGGGACTGAGGGCAGCCCCCATGAATCACACCTTGCCAAGAAGATAGGTTCCTAATAGGTTGATGAAGCCCTGCAGTGCATTGTGGGATGCGCTAAGGGCATCTGTCAGTGTCAACAGTAACATATGACAGAATGTGCGTACTACAGACACTTGAGTTACAGAGGCTCCCTCCAGCAACAGATTGTAAGTAATTGTTAGCAGTTGGCACAGGCAGATGCCCCTAGTATCCATGGCCAATGTTAGTTTAGTGTATAATACCAATGCACAGGCCCTCTTTTAGCATAACCCTTTAACAAATCAACATGTATCCATAAGGTTAAAGATCTCCAGAGCTAAAGTATACACTTGTGGAACCCAGTAATTTCAGGATTTAAAACCATGTATTTGTAGAAGGATAACTGTACTAATAACTTCTTACCTTTGCCTATTATTTACCTCTGCTCTGGGAGCCATCATAACTGGTCAAGGCTAATATATGTTATGGTCATACCTGGTCTGCAATCAAGGTTCGCAGTATACTTTACAGTTCAAACTGCAGACAGGTTGAATGTTAACAAAGCAGTGTATGGCATGGAACTATGATGGCAGCTCTCAAGAAGTAGAGGGAAGAGGGTTTTTCTTTTAATCTGAATTCTTGGATGTATTAAACGTTTCTTTTGTGCAGTCTGTAAAACAAACTAGCCTAATGTACAGTTGTATTTAAAACAAATGTATTCAACTTAAAAATACAAATTGGCTGATGTTAGGTTTCAAAGCTAAAAAGTGACAAAGTCAGCAGCTACACATAAGATGTTTTATTTACCAGAGTCTTCCTGGGCATGATTTTCTTAGCTGTGATCAATACCTTCATAACTGGTGTAGGTTTCTACAAATATTAAAAGGCAGCATTGTTAACATCCATGGTATTTACTTAGCAATAGCATTCATTTACAAAGTAACCTGCAGGGGAAAATTGGTAGTCTGGTTGTCCACTATTTATATTTCCAACACGAAATCAGCATAGTCAGAGCTCTTAGGTCTCGTTCACACCTAGGCGTATTGCATATGCGCGACCGTCGCGTGTTTTACCACGATTCGCTGTAAAAAACGTTGCGCAACCGTCGCGCGTTTCCGAAGGCTACTTGGCTGTATCCCAATGGAAACGCGCAACAAAACGGCCCAAAGTAGTACCTGTACCTTTTCAGGCGTGGGCCGTTTTGTAGCGCGTTAGGGACGGGCGGAAATACGCCAAGGTGGGAACGAGACCATTGAATACAATGGGATTTATATTTTTGAGTGTTTTGTAGAGCGTTCGTCGAGCGTAGAACGCGCTACAAAACGTTCAGGTGTGAACGAGGGCTTAAAGCGGACCTTTACCCATATCTTTACAACAACAACAAACACACCTTTAGAAATGTCTAGTAATGACAATCTACAAACACATACTTCTAGAAAATTGTTTATTTTTCTATTTTAAAAGTGAAATATCAGGAGTCTGTTTATGTCTGGGCCCCAATGCCCCTAAAAGTAAAATAAAATTAAAAAAACAAATAAAAAAAAATGAATACAAATTTAAGTTTATAAAAAAAATTAAAAATGTAAAAAAACATTTTTGGTCTGACATTTTTTTTATTTCAGTTTCATTTCAGTTTTGACATTTTCATTTCGGTGCACCCCTAGTGTGTATTCATATTACAATATTTTCCCTGCCTGGAGAAAAACTTGGATGGGTCATAAGAGTTAGTTTAAAGCTGTGGACTTGAAAGACAAAACTTATTGCATAGATACATACCGGGCTATCTGTAGATTTGTTGAGTGAATTTCTTCCAGATCTTCTGGCAGGTGGAGAAGTAATACCTGGAAAAGATCAGAGATTGTTTATAATACCGAAAATACTCAACAAATATAAAATCAGTATTTTGACTTAAACAAGAACACTGTATACAGTTGGCAGCATTTATGTCTGAGTGAACCTCAAAACACATTATTTCTATTACAGAATGCTCAGAAAATCGAAGTCAAATTTTTATTTTAAAATAAAGCAAATCTGTGCGTAAAACAAAATGATGCCAACAGCAGCAGTGGATGGCTGACAGTATAAGCCAGGAGCAGACAAACTCGGCACTCCAGTTGTTGTTAATGAGTCACATGAGGCATTGCAAGACTTCAATAACCACATGTCAACCCTTGGTATAAGTCATCGGTTATACAAGCAGCTGAAGAAACTCTCAGTTGCCTCCTGCAGTCTGCTCACTTCAATGTAGTGGTAATAAGGCTTGCACCCATCACATCATACACAGAGGTACCAGACAGCCAGCCTGGGTATTGCCACTTGATTGGTGGGCAGCCTGTTTCCTAGGTAAAGAAAGTCTCTATTTGCAGGGCTGTAAATTTAGACTTCAGAGTCTTGATGGTCATTAAGCCCTTATGAAGGGGGATTCCTGTCCCCCGAAACACGTTGGCTGTGCATAACTTCTTGTTCCCATTTGTGAAGCCAATAAAAGTTTTTTTTTGGGGATGTGAGATGATTACCTGGTGCCCTTCTTCAATCTTCATCCATGTGCATCCGATTGGATGCAGTCACTGGCTCCTTTGACAAAACTCAAGTGTGGGGGAGTTGTCAAAACAGCCACCATAGCTAACATTTTGGGGTGACTCGCTCTGTATATAGTCAGTGTGTGGGAAGGAGGAGTGTCACAGCAAAAGGTCAATTTTTTCTTTCTGACTGGAATGGGACTTTAATGAAGCTGTGACAAGTGTGGTAATCTGTAGCAACCTGATTTCATCTTACTTCTGTCACACCACTAAAACATGATTCCTGATTTTTCGTTATGGATTACTACACTCTAAGCCAGGGGTGGGCAAACTCCGGCCCTCCAGCTGTAGTGGAAAAACAAATCCCATGAAGCATTGCAAGATTCTCACATCCACAGGCATGACGGGATTTGTAATGTCATCATTGCTGGAGGTCCGGAGTTTGCCCACCCCTACTTTAAGCATTACCATTTCTCTTATATGCTCCTTTCTATTTTCTTATATCCTTCATGATTTAGTAGTTCATGGCGGGTAGCAGGAGATTGGATGCGCAGTTGTGTCTGAGGTAAGGTAATAATCCGTTCTGTATTGTTAAAATACAAATGCTGTTCAAACTTAACAGAACAAATGTTTTCCTATTAACTGTTGCTTAACGATTCATCTTCCAGCTCCCTATATAGTCACATGCAGGCTGCAGAGTGGCGGCTCCTAGTTCTGGGTGAGATTTGTCCAGACATGTTCTAAGCCAGTGGTGGCGAACCTTGGCACTCCAGATGTTCCAAAACTACAAATCCCAACATGCACCTGCCTCTGGGAGTTATGTCTGTGGCTGTCAGAGCCTTGCAATGCCTCATGGGACTTGTAGTTTTAAAACAGCTGGAGTGCCAAGGTTCGCCACCACTGTTCTAAGCTGTAGAAACAAACTGAAACCTGAATTTAGAGTCTTTGCGGTATTCCTTGAAATAGAATAACGTCACACTAAAAGCAGCTGGAGGGGTGGGTGGCTTGTTTTAAAGTTCTTTTACGGCTTGTTAATACGTTCATTTATTTTCCATTTTCTGGGCACAGGTGCACTTTACTCCCCACAAGGTGTTATGTCGCTCACACTTAAGCGCGACAAAACGTTCATGACAAGGAATACCATTAATTTCTATGACCCCGGTTCACACCAGAGAGTGTTTTTATCCCAAACAGAAATACGCCCGTCGCTGGAAAAAGTACATGAGCTACTTTATGGTCGTGTAGACTTTAATGGGAAACACCAAGAAATGCGCAATTCAAGCGTTTTTGCACACATCGTTTCCAACAGAGGTCCATGAAACCAAAAAGCGCTGTAATCTGCCAAAAAGTAGCTCATGAACGCTTTCCAGCGACAGGCGTTTACTGCTTGCGACAAAACACTCAGGTGTGAACAGGGGCCATAGAAATTAATGGGATCCTTAGTCTTGAACGTTTTGTTGCGCTTAACTTTTAGCGGCATCACACCCAGGTGTGGCAGGGGCTTAAAGCCCAACGGAACTTTTAGTTTGAATCAGCTAAATTCAAAAAGGTGTTTGAAGTCTTTCAGCTAGCTTTTTCTTTAGAAAGCAACCACATTGCAGGTAGGAAAGCCTGTACCCTGCTGCAGAGAAGGCACCCAGCTGTCTGTTTGGAAGCAGTGGTCTTTCTGGAGAGGTCCAACAGCCCCACCCCCTGCTGAGTCAGAAACAAGCATGAGATTAGCTAAGTGATAAGCTATGACCCTGACTGAGCATGGAGTATGTCAGATCTCTGCAGAGAGGCCCTCACAGATAGCAAGGGTCCTTTTCTTCAGCATGCTGGCAGGGGACAAGCATGTCTACTTAGGCTGTAGCGGCTTTGTAAAGAAAACAAACTGTAAGGCACCATTTGTGATACGTGAAGTTGATCAATGCCATTTCTCCGTTGTCCATAGATAGCAGACACAGCTGACAGCTACGTGTTATATACCCGATTGAAATGACATCTGCACCCCCCGGCAGTATAATTCTAGTACTTGTGGAATGGCCTAGCACTCACTGTCTCTTTTGCAGGTGACTGTGCCCCGGCTGCTGCCTCTCTTCTTCCGATCAGACATGATGGCAGCTCTGAGGACCCGCAGATGTCGTCCCTACGGCCGATCTCTGGCACCGCCGCCTCACTCTCCTTGTGTAATAAAGAAGTCTAATCTTCAGTGATCTCCGGAACTGACACCCCGAGCACCGCCACGGCAATACACAGCTCCATCCACAATATTCCCCACCGAGACCATTCGAAGTCGTTCAAAATGCCCGCGCCCGCTCTGTCCCCGGAACAGGAAGTGACGTGAAGAATTCCATGCGCCGCCATGTTGCGTGTGGCAGAAGTGACGTGTTCGGCGCTGCGCCGTACGCCTGTCACTGTCACCGTCACCCGGAAGAGACGTGGCAGACAGAAGTCAGATTGTGGAAAAAATAAGAAAAAAGTCGGCAGCGCTTATATGACGAGTAGGAAGAGGTGACGGGGAGGTTAGGGGAGTCTTAGCATACAGAAGAGGCAGAATACTGCAAGATTAAGAAGCAGGGAGAAGAGGAAGGGCGGAGGGGCGGTTCTGACCCTGGCATTTTGAGGTAAGATACATGGGAAATCGATTGCTTTACTATTGCTTCCTGCAGTGGATTCGTTGTGATGTTTATATGGGGTGCCTGGGGACAGCAGACGCCTGTTGTGTGAAGACAATAGATCCCTGTTTAATACCTCACTGAAACATGTTCTCATGGAAGTCAGGGTGGCAGTGGGGTTCTACTAAGTGGGGGAGACTTGCTTAGGACACCTGAAGTTGGCAGATTGACATCACACAGTGATCAGATATTAATGACAGCACAGATGGCAGGAAGAGCACAACCACACACCTATGGCCGGAGCTTACCCTAGAAAAAATACCAGCAAATGGCTTGAATTGTACAGTGTGTGTGATCACAGATTGGCTGGGCGGGGTGCATGGCTTGTTCTGCAGGTAGTCATAGATATAAACAGCACTGACATGTCCATCCAGAATCTGACTTAAAGGAGACGTTCGGGGTGATTATAACATACTGTCCCCTATACTTACAGCCGGCGTCATACACTGCACCGCTCCCCCACCGCCTCTTACACTGAGAGCTGAGGGATCATGTGACCACTGATCAGTCGGCTCTCAGTCTCCACTACCAGTGAAGAGCAGTGACTGTCAGTCATTGCCCCTCAGGGATTCTCCCCTCTCTTGTCCTCCAGTGCTGGATGGAGCTACAGGCCTGGGAGGGGGTGGGCACGGCTCTTGCTCTCAGCCACACACACACAGAGGCAGAGACAGTTGTCAGCTAGGCATCCAGAGTGGATCTAGACAATATTGTTGTGACTTTTCTCAGCTGCAGCAGCTGATAGTGGGCATTGGCCTACTATGGGCTGAGTGCCCCCCCATATGTTTGTTATGTGTTCCCATTCACACAGCATACCTAAAAATAATTTGTACCTTTCTAGTTGATTTTTTTGGAGCAGACCTCTGGGCAGTGAGCTACTGATTCATTTCTAGGTGGATGTGGAGGGGGACAAAGTGGAGACAGACTGAGATAAAGTGCGTTAACCTACAGTGCTGAACCCAAACCTTTGTTAGGACAGACAGATCTAGTTTACAACTGACAACACAGTACCCACAGGGTTAACAATGGAAAGCACAACTCACCAGTCCCCTACTTAACATTAGGCCCCGTTCACACTGAGCGATTTATTGCGCGGTAATTCCCGCGATATCGCGGCTATTTACCGCGCGATATCGCTCTCCAATGCTTGGCAATGGGGCAAAGGGTACTGCTGTCGCGGGTCGTGCGTCGCTACAGGAGGACCCTTTTTGGAGCGGATTTTGCCACGATTCGAGCTTGCTCAATGCAAGCATTTGCGCGATATCGCGCGACAAACGCGCGATTTGCGAATTGCGCAGTGTGAATGGGGTTTAACATAGAATGGGAGAACTTCAGTTGTGGAGTTTTCAAAAAAGAACAAGTAAAAGGTAAGCAGCATTTTGTGCTATGTGAATGGGAACGAGTGACAAATATTAAATGGGTGTTATTTAGACATGTAACCCTACAAACTATTTTTTTTAGCTTCGGATCTATTCAGATTTTTATTTCTTTTGGATTCCGGATCATTATTTAGATTTAGGATGCGAAATTTGGTCCGTTATACGGATTTTGGATCCGTCCGAATTTTCGTTTTGGAACAATCCACAACAGGAAGTTACATGACTGCGCCTGTAATACAACCCCCCAACAGCCAAAAATAAATCTGATTGGCCAGAGAACAGTCACATGTCCGATTTAGCTTGTTTTGAATGAAATTCGAATGGATCCAAATTTTCTTTCACTGACCATTCGGATTTGTTTGCATTTGGAAGTGTTGAAATTCGGATGCATTGAAATGTCTGAATTTAAAGAAATAGGTACGGATATTCATTCGGAACAAAACGAAATTTACATGTCTAGTGTTATTTTAATTTGGCTGCAAAGGTGGAAATAAACTTTGGAGAGATCCTGTCACCAACTTAAAAACTTACAGGTAAAAGCACTGAAAATGTAAGTATTTTTAATGGCAGCAGAGTTGTCTCAGCTGTCACAGGCTGCACAGAATCGAGCACAATGGATTTGCACAATGTTCTGTGTACAATGTTCTGTGTTGGGAGGGCAGGTTCCATCAGGAGAATCTGTCACCTCCAAGCACTATCACATAGGGGCTTGTTAACCCCTGTGCGATAGTAATTGATACAACAGTAAAAAATAAAATAAAAAAAAGAAGTGATAAAGTAAAAAACAATAAAAATAAAAAATCAACCCCAGCTCCGCCTCCATTTGCATGTGAATAAGCAGCGCTCTCTATCATGCACAATGTGCGTTAAAGGGTAAGTTCACTTTCCCAAGTAATTTGGGAAAATGGAATTACCCGCTCAAATCTGGCCCCCTCTACCCACATTCCCTCCCCCAGCACTATTCTTGCCTTTCGGTGCACGGTCCATCTCCACCAGTACGGGTGTACTATCTGTACCCTATACTGCCATCCAGCGCAGCCCTGCTTTATGGATTTAGAATTTCGCTCGCAAATTACGAGTACTCGTTGGTCAGCAAGGTCAGGTGACTGTGCTGTCTAATGAGAAGCTCTTCTTCGCATGGTTAAATATGGTTTATTTAAAATTATTTTTTGTATCAGGACAAGTAGATTGTCATGAGGGACAAGTAGCTTGGGCCCCCGCTATGGGTCCATTTCACACCTCTGCACTTTCAATCTCATGGGAAGTTTCCTGTGGAACTGAATTGCATGTCTAGTAACATTCTGGGGAGGGCCTACAGACATAAGATCATTAGCCAATCTTGCCGTGTAAGGGAAGCTTTTATGATAAGAAGCAGGATCAGCCAAATGTATTTTGCACCATATTCTGCTGTTACCAAGTGGATAGGCACTATGCAAACATACTAACACCATGTGTAAAGCCAAATGAAATCTCACCGCTCCAATTCCTCAGCCGCCATCAGGCCGCCACAGGAGCTGGTCTAATAGGTGCGTCTCCACCTTGCAATGTAGTAGTATACGAACAGACCGCACTATCCAGAGAATTCCAATACTTCAGATTTTATGAATACAGTGAATAAAAGTGTATAAAGCCAGTGGCGTCACGCGGGGGGTGCCACCATTGGAGGGGTGACAACAAAATGACTCACAGTCATTTTGGTGTCACCCCCCCTCTGAAAAGTCGGGCGCTCGGTCATGGACCGAACGCCCGACAGTATCAGGAGAGAGGAGGGGACCCGGCGGCATACCTTATCCCGCCGGGTGACTGTCCCCTCCTCTCTCTGCTGGCGTCCATCACCAAGATGGCCACCGGCAGGTATCAGCATACTGACGCGCGTGCGCGATGACGTCACGCGCATTCGCAGTGACGTCTCGGCGGGGTGACACTCGGTTACCGCTCTGGGTGTCACCCAGCCTCGGGACGCCCCTGTAAAGCAGCAAATACCAGCACTGCACACCCCCAACCAGCTACAACCTCTCACATGTTTCACCCGTAGGCCTGTTCATAGAGGTCACCATGTGTTACATCTGCTCTGTCTATTGTGACACATTGATATCTTCTTGTTGGGTTCTGTTAAGCAAAGGAATGTTCACAACGGGGCAGGTGAGCAATAAGGAACGTTGTGAGCATGAACATTTCAGCCAATTAAAATTTGTCTTACTTGAAGAAGAACTCCGGTTCTTGCAGTGGGGCTATCCCTGCACTGCACGGGTTAACTGCTCGTTTGTGTCTAGGTGTAAAAAAAAAAAAAAAGTTATACTCACCCAATCATTCGCGCCTGCTTGCTCTTAGACCGGTCCCCAGAGCCTCTCTTCCCTCTCCTCTGTAGTGGTCTATGAATCCTTGGGTCATCACGTTCACGAGGAGGCTGAGGAACATTTAAGGCCGTGACACACTACACGCAAAGCCGTGCAGAGCGAAGCAAAGCTATCCGGCACGGAGCTTTGTGTGGAGTGTGTGAGCTGAGTGCAGTCAGATGATTGACTGCACCTTCAGCCAATCGGCTCGTCAGTAACAACCAGCCAGCTGTTATATGCCGACGCGCTGGTTTATACGCGCGAGCCGACTGGCTGAAGATGACATTTTTCATCTTGGCACGCTCAGCTACGCGAGCTCTCGCAAGCTGAGCTGCCGAGGATAAAATGACATGACACACTGCTCGCAAAGGCAGCGTGCCACCGCTCCGCGCGGCTTCACGTGCAGTGTGTCAAGGCCTTAAATCTGTGCAGTGGAGGAGGAGACACTTCAGTGACCAGAGAAGCAGGGAGTCATCTCAGCAGTTTGGGTGAGTATAACTTTTTTTAGCACCTAAAACAAAATGAGCAGTTAACCCTTGCAGTGCTGAGGTAACCCCACTGAAGGGTGTATGTGACAGGTAATACATTTTCCCCCAGAGTTCTCTGGGAGCGGATACCAGGGGATTTCTTTTGCATTTAGTAGCCAGAAAACAAAAACCTTTTGTGTTTCTCTGTGATTTATTTCCACCTTGTGACAAGGGACTTTACTCTTCTGACCTCAGGGCACACGGTGAGTTTTTCTGGCTTATAAACTTGACAGCAGGTGATTCAGCCCAGCACCATCTCCACCCATAACTAAAATATCTATTTGGGAATGCCTTACCCTTTTAATCATAATGTTGCGTACTAAGAACCCCAATTTTATTTTATAGAAAATCAAATGCCTAATAAAGATTATAAATAAATCCAATTCAGTCTGGTTTTATACAGTATTCAGCCCAATGTACCTGCATATAAGTAATTACTCCCCAGTAATTTAGAGGTGTGCCTGTGGGCCGTGTCATCATATAGGTGACTGGTCACACTAGTTGATCGAGGTACTTTAATTCAATCAAACGGATGTTTCACTGTTTATATTAATTTCAGATGTGTCTGATGCTGCTTCTAAACTTTTTACAGTTGGATAGTTTAATATAATGGGAGGGTTTTGTCCAGATGATTTGGAACATTACCTTTCCTGATGCTGAACTCTGGCCAAGTAAATGGTCAATTTGCTTGATTGCTCCCTGGAAATCCTGTTGACTGTTATGTAATTTTACCAAAATCACAGGTTTCTATGTATTTCTGAAGCTCTGATGTGTGTTTTCCTTACATTTCTGCAGGTGCCTCCGCCATTATGGGTCTTTGCAAATGTCCAAAGAGGAAAGTGACAAATCTTTTTTGCTTTGAGCACCGGGTCAATGTTTGTGAACACTGTCTTGTAGCCAATCATGCCAAGGTAAGAGCATTCAGTCGGTCTGCTAGTAACCATCCAAATAAAACTTATTATTATTATTATACAGGACTTATATAGCACCAACAGTTTGCCCAGCGCTTTACAATATAAGGAAGACACTACAATTACAATACAATTCAAGACAAGATGGAACACAGTTCCTATACCTGTGTGTGGGTTTTGAATTTGGGCACCGCCTTTTAAGTACACCTGCCATGAGAGAAATAAGCGAGCTGCCATGGCTGGCGTCCTTCTAGCAATGCTAGTTCCCTGGCTTTATTACCTCTGAGTCACATGCATTCGATTAAACATGCAGCAAAAGAAATCAGACTATCATATCCATACACTTGTTCTGGCTCAGTGGTGTGTGAAAGCATTACGTTCAAAGTGATAACATGGCAGCATTTTCAGAGGCAGACATCAATAATGGCAGCCAACATTAGTTCTCTTGTGACAGGTGCCCTTTAAAAGAGTTGCAGACTGTCATTTAAAATTATACAGGACATAAATAACTTCCGACTACTGCAATCTGTATGTGGCACAATATTGATAAAATATTGAAAGGGAAATTTATCAAAACAGGAGCAGACAAAAGCAGTTGCTCATGGCAACCAATTTCAAAACTTAACGGTACAAACTGAAGAGAGAAGCCGATTGATTGCTAAGGACAGCTGCTCCAGATTGTGTCTGCTCCAGTTTTGATAAATTCTCCTCTGTGAGTTTCCACTCACCGGGCCAATGGAATCACTGAACTCTTTAGAGCAGCCATGAAATGTCCCATGTAGCGTGACCTTTAGGAGCTAAAGAGGCTCTTTATGGTGGAACCAAGACTTGGCTAAGGGATTGGAAAAGGGAGATACAGTATCATTGATTGGCTGCTTCTGTCTGAGCAACCAATCAGTCTCTCTACCTCTCTTGTTTCCAGATCTTCCTTGGTGAGGGAGTAACAGGGAATCACTGCCCTGTTGGACCAAGAGGAGAAGTGGAATGGGTGACAGGTAAGTATTTAGATGTTTCCAGCATGGGACAGGCAGACCCAAACGTATTTTATGAACTTTAGATCCACTGTGAAAAGGTGTTTTTTTTCACTCTATTGAGATGCAGAAATAGAGAAGCGGTATCACCTTTCACCTGTGGCCATTTACTTGTATGCACACCAAATGTTTACCCAAGTATACAGGAAATCCTGATGCAGTCAGACAGATATCATTCATGCAAGCACCGCTGGGAGACTCCTATTCATGACTTGTGACAGTTTAGAACACAGCGTAACTTTATAATTTGTTTTCAGCAACAATGTTCAGCAACAATGTTCAGGTGCATAAATTGATAATGACTAAAACCTCCCTTTTACCTTTCTTTTGTGTTAAAGTGCAACTTCACTTTTGCTAAGTAAACAAACAACCCCTGATCAATTTACATTGCAAGAATTTTAACAAACTTTGTAACAGATTCCGACCTTTTTCCATTGTGAAGAAAAAGCTGTTTGTTGCAGCATGTCCTTTCCAGACTGACTCCTGCATAGGACGGTCTTCGTTATTATCACCTGGTGCACTTTCAGTGTTCTAATGAGGAATGTTGCAGTGCCGGTATCCCTTTTTAAGGTGCCCATAGACCTAGGAATATCGGCTGATTTTTGCATGCGATCGCGTTTTCGTCCGATATTCGTAAAGTTGATGGGCGGTGTACAACCGCAAATACTGTACAATCGATCGACTTTTGACTAACCAGCAAGTTAGAAAACTTCGGTTGATGGTATGATTTTCCGAAGGTTGGTGGCGTTTCTGTCCGTCAAAATTCGTATGATTTACACTGCTCATGCGCCGATGAAAATGCGTGCGTTCGATTACCGTAATTCGTCCAGGTGCTTTCTTTTAATTACTATGAGAAAAACAATATTGTGCCAGCTAAGGGTCCCCACACACCTTACGATTATCGTACGATAATCGCGGGAAATCCCGCGATCGTACGATGATCGTAAGGTGTGTGGAAGCCGTGCGACCTCTACTACTGTAAGGTCGCACGACTTTAAACTTACGGACATGTTCGAAAACCCGCCGAGCATCGTACGATGTTCGGCGGGTTTGTAGCATGTCTGTGCGATAACAGCCGTACGGCCCGTTCGGCATTGCGGTCATCGGAAGCCCGCCCCTTAGGGGGCGTGGCTTGCGATCATCGCAAGTACGATCTGCCTATGCAACATAGGCAGATCGTACGTTTTTTTAAGTACCTTACAACCATCGCAAGACAAAAGTCTTGCGATGGTTGTAAGGTGTGTGCCCAGCCTTAGATGTGTATGAATATTAGCTCGGCACAATATTGTTTTTCAAATTTTCCAGATATTTATTTATATCCTTAGTGCTTGGTAGCTGTTATTTTCACATTTCACCTACTGGCGCTGATCACCTTATTGTTTTTTTTAGTTTTAATTACTGCTGATTGAACCTTGCGATAATCGGGGCAGGATAGGGCCGCCGTGCGAAAATCGTATGACGTTTCGATCATCGGACGAAAAGTTTCGTCCGATGATCGCAAGGTGTATGGGCAGCTTTAGAAGTAACTAATCCTTAGGGATTATTTCCCAAAAAATAAATTCTCTATTCTCAAGAGAAGCCTAAAATGTTACTATGTTAGTGCAAATTTCTTGGAAAATGTGTGTGCCAAGTTTTAGAAAATGACAGCAGCTTCAGATTGGAATGGAAAGCACATTTTAATATTTATATCTTCCAAAAAAGCATGTGTCGCAATTTTATATGCTGTATTAAATGTTTTAATGAAAGTGGAGTTTCCTTTAAATGCTTTATTTTACGTGATAATGTATAAGATGACATTTGTAGTTATGAGAAATGAGAGAGAAAACAGCAATCATGTTTTTTATTAAAATAATGCCTGGAATGTCACCTTTGATGGTCTTTTCACTACCCAATAAAAGTCCACCCACAACATTTTGACATCAGGGTGGAAGTAAGCCATTGTTTCCATTCCATCCTCCCACCAGCTTAGAGTACAACCCTATACCAAGGTTGTTCGGATTCTTATTTTATGGTGTTACTAGCTATGCAGGATTATGGCCATAGAATAATCATTCTTCGCTCTCTCCACCTTCTCTGAAATGTGTAATATTTTTTTTCAGTGTATCGTTCAGTCATACCTACAGTGGCTTCAGGACAGTGATTACAACCCAAACTGTCGTCTTTGCAACACACTGCTTTCATCTAAGGAGACTGTACGCCTTGTGTGTTATGGTATGAGCTTTTGTAGCTTTATGTTACAAGAAGAGAGTATCTTGTTGTTTTTGCTCGGTTTTGTTGTATTTACCTGTTGTACAAACATTGCCATCTCCATGAATGCACCTATAAAGGATTTTCTTTTTTTTAATAACTTTTCTTTGCTGAATCAGATTTATTTCACTGGTCCTGCCTGAATGATCTGGCCTCTCAGTTGCCACTGAACACAGCACCCGCGGGGTACCAATGCCCAAGCTGCCAGGGACCCATCTTTCCCCCCAGCAATCTTGTCAGCCCAGTGGCCTCCACTCTGCGGGATAAACTCTCACAGGTCAACTGGGCTAGAGCGGGGCTAGGCCTTCCTTTGGTAAGTCACAAGTTATGTATTTTTTCTTTTCCATTTATTTGTCAGGGGTGTGGAAATTTTTTTTAAAAGTACTTGCCAAAGGACTAGAGCGGGGGCCCAATCTACTTGTCCCTCATGACAATCTAGTTGTCCCGATACAAAAAAATAGTTTTACTCAAAACCGTATTTAACTGTGCTAAGAAGCACTTCTCATTGGTCAGTGCGAACAAAATTCAAAATGCATAGCGCAGGGCTGCACTGGACATCAGTACCTAGTACAGATTGTTCCCTCATACTGGCGGAGGGAAAGGACTGTTCGATGAAAGGTAAGTATAGCGGGTTGGGGAGACGGGGACAGATTTTTCCCAAATTACCCGGGAAAGTGAACTTACCCTTTAATGTACATTGTGCGTGTCAGGGCCGGTTCACACCACAAACAGTGCTTTCCAGAGCGGTCACCCTCTGGAACGCACTGTATCGCACTCCGGCCAGCTCCGCGCGTTTCAGGGGCGGAAAGGGGCATGGCGGTGCATGGAAGTCAATGGAACCGCAGCCACGACCCCCGCCCGCAGTGCATTTGCCCGCACCCAAACACATGGCACATTATTGCCTGTGTTCCGGTCCAATGCGATCTGCAATGCTGAAAGCAGGGAGCCAACTGGAGTGCGCTGACCCCTCTGGAATGCTGTTTGTTGTGAACCGGCCCTAACGGAGTTCTACTGCCTGGCTACCACAATATGGCACATGGTGGAATGGCGGCAGCACTTAACGCACGCACACAATGTCCTACACGTGTGTTTATCTGCATGCAGATGGCAGGAGGTAACAGAGTTGGTTTTATTTTTTACTTCCTCACTTTGCACACACACACACACACAATGCCCTTTGCATGCATTTATTTGCATGCAGATGACGGTGGCAGCGGGGTTGGTTTTAACTTTTTTGTTTTTTTTTTACTTTATCACTTTTATTTATTTTTTATTTTTATATATTTTATTATTTTATTTTCACCTAATTTTATTCCTATCACACAGGGGATTTCAAGCCCCTGTGTGATCGTTTGGAGGTGACAGATTCTCTTTATGGAACCTGCCCTCCAACAGAACAGATCTTCTGTGTAGTTCCTGACTGCTGAGACAGGTGGAGCTGTGATTACAGCACCATCTGTCTCACAGAGCAGAGCGAAGAATGGACATTCTTATCTCTGCTCCCCACTCTCCATCCTGAGCTCATTTGCCGTAGAGCAGGGAGGGAGGGGGTACAGACAGGCTTGTACAAGTGCTGGGGCTTCCCACTGTACATTTTAGCTCTGCTTGCCCGAAGCAGGGCAAAATGTACGGAAAAAATTACGCGTAGCGCCCAGAACTGCATGTCCCCGGGGGGCAAAAGGAATTCCACACCCCTGTACATACATATTGCTTGGTACATTTTAGTACTTCAACACCTTCATCCATTTTTCCTTCTTTTTCATTTTCAGTAAAGCCTGTTATATTTGTAAGGTAAACATGCATTGTTTAGCTCTTTATCCACTTTTCTCCCTTGCCTTTTATCTGCTACGAAATGTTATATTCTACTTAGTATAAAAAAAGTAGTATCCCTCTCTGTGTCCTATTCCACACTTACCTTATCTTTACTAGATTGAAGAGGCAGAGCCTGTAGATGAAGTCTCCCAGCATGACATCACAGATTACAGGGACTGGTCAGTTGTGAACTGTGAGTTTCCATTAAATGTCTCCTACTAATATTACCTCTAGGCTGTATAATTGTTTCTGTGTATTTAACTTGCATTTTTGGTTTCTTGTCAGCATCCTCTGATCACCAATCAGAAAGTCCAGAAACAGCACAGCAAACGGGGTATATGTACAGCTCTGTGCCCAAACCTATACAGCACGGGTTGTCAGGAAACGGATCAAAAGACCATCCTGTCATTATTGGAGACACTGAAGGAGAGAGTGTTGCTTTTAATGCAGGTAAGAGTGGCGCAAGGAGCTTCATTTAGAGGATATAACCAGAAAAATGTTCTTGTATAGGGTATTGGAAGAGAACCTGCCACATTCATAACATTATTTGTCTTAAAAACAGAAGCAGTCATGTTTCTACACTGTTTTCAAGATCTTCACAAACCTGGAGTGTGCTTTTTGTAAGAAATGTATAGAGAGCGCATGCTTAAGATAATATCGAGTTTTACAGAGTATGTATTTTCCTCTAAATAATATAAGCTGAACAGAAAATTACCCACTTTAAAAGGAGAACTATGAGGCAAGTGAAAATCACTCAGCCTCATAGTTCTAGCCGACCTGTGACAATGAAACTGTCACAGGTCGGCTCAATAGATCGGGAAGTGAGCGAACACATAGCGTCGCTCGCTCACTTCTTGATCCTGTCCCTGCAGAGAGCCGTGACTGTCACTCACGGCTCCCTGCAGGGATTCTCCTCTCCTGTCCGATCCTCGAGCGCTGAATGGGGGAGGGGGCGGGTACAGCTGGCTCTGCCTCTAAGTAGGCAGAGCCAGATGTCACTCATGCAGCTGGGTGGATCCAGACAGTAATGTTGGGATCCGTACTGGCTGCGGCTTCTCAGTATGCCGCAAGCTGTAGCTCGCGGTTTACTGAGCTTAGGGTGACGGGAGGACGCTAGTTTGTGTCCTCCCGTGACCCTTAGGAGAACTATGGGGAAAAGCCCTCTTGTTCTTTTATGGTTACCTAACTTATTTCTTTGTGCCAGGAATCTCATTTTAGTGTCATGATAAGCTAAGCAGACCATAAAATATGTTGTATAAAGCTGCCTCTGAGCACTACTGGGTCCTTTTTTCATCCTACTGTATTTTTGGAAGAGATTGGCAAATAGACAAAGTTTGAAGTCTCAAATAACAACATACAACGTCATACAACTTCCTTCTGGGTTTGTAAGGGTTGCATAGACAGTGGAAGGGGGAGACACATTTAGCAAACCAAATGAATAGAAAATAGTTGGGGGTAAAATCTTTTAGTTATTTCTTTCCTTAAATTTTTTATGCACTTACAATGTGCCTTCGAGCTTGCTAGAAAATGTATCTACTCCAGCAAGAGTCTGTTCCCTAGCACTGCCCTCTCCCTCCATGTACATCATCATAGCCCTCTCCTCTACTGGAAGTTCAATTACTTTATCTGCTGACCCAGTTCTTCCAATTATTTTCTCTGTTGACCCAGATCTTCCATCCTTTCCCTCGCCTCCCTACATAACCATTTAAGTAGCTTTAGGGGGAGAAGCGTAGAGAATACTGTGAAATGTCACTAGTGTGACAACGCTGAGTGTTGGGGCTGATGACATCACATACAAGATGGCAACGCCTAGCAGCAGTCTAAGGCCATTTGTATGTCTACACAAGGGAGGCTTTTACAGGAAAAGGACATGCATAAAATAGATTAAATGCTCATATAATCTTATAATGATTTTTGTTATTTTTTCTTTTGTAGCCTCCACTCCTAGGAAAATCTATGACACTCGAGATGTTGCTGGCTCCCAAGATGCAGTGATTGATTTTGATGATGACAAATACCGGAGGAGGCCGACGCTGAGCTGGTTGGCAAGGATATTGCGGTTAGTTTAGTACACCTTACTTGAAGTTGTAGTCAAATTCATGTTTTTTTCCATGCAAAGAATGTGCTATTTTAGGTATGACTACAGTCAGCTTGGAGAGAGGGCCATGCTTGGAATATGCTGGCTTGTTTTTTGGAGGTTCTGATTTATAGCTGTGAAAAAGGTGAGCATACAAACGACTGTAGAAGTTTAGTTAACAGAGCAACCGCCTACCTCTCCTCAGTGAGTTTAAATTAAAATATTCATATTTTCCTGGAATGTGCCTTTAATAAAAGTGCTTTAAAGGAGAACTATGAGGTGAGTGATTTTCACCCATCCTCATAGTTCTAGCCAACCTGTGACAATGAAACTGTCACAGGTCGGCTCAGTAGATCGGGAAGTGAGCGAACACATACCGGCGCTTGCTCACTTCTCGATCCTGTGCCGGCAGAGAGCCGTGACAGGGGAGGGACTGGATTCCCCTCTCCCCTGTCCGATCCTCCAGCGCTGACTGGCGGAACGGACGGGTACAGCTGGCTCTGCCTCTAGATAGGCAGAGCCAGCTGTCACTCACGCAGCTGGGCGGATCCAGACATAATTGTCGGGATCCGTTTCAGCTGCTGCGTCTCAGTATACCGCGAGCTGTAGCCCGCGGTATACTGAGCTTAGGGTGACGGGAGGACGCTAGTTTGTGTCCTCCCATTACCCTTAGAAGAACTATGGGGAAAAGCCCTAACCCCATAGTTCTCCTTTTTAAAATATTTTTGTCAGATGTGTGGCTTCATAAAAACAGGTGCTGTGCATTGACCCATAACAGCCAACCATGAATCTGATTTTATGAATTCTAGGATCTGTGGGTTTTAGCCGCACTTTCCATTTGGACTATGATATTAAAGGCCGACTCCAGGCAAATATGAAAAGGGAGTGTACAATATAACTAAGCTAAACTAAGGGCCAGTATGGCAGTGGACGTTCTGACAGCAGAAGAAAGCCGGAGATGACTTCATCATCTTTTTGTCCAATCAGCAAGCTGGAGTTATGGTTTGGGTTTGAAAGTAGTGCTGTAGCTGCAGTGGACCTGCTTTGCTTTCTCTCAGAGGTGGGTGAATCTGGAGACTGGCAGCAAAGAAATGTACAGCACCCAACACACCTTTGCATACAGATTGCAGCAATGCACTGACATATGTTTTGGTGCTCTGCCAGAAATAGTACATTCATTATTTTTGGTGTGTTAGGAATCCAATTTATGCGTGTAAGGCCTTGTTCACACCAAGCGCGGAGCAGGTGCAGAGCAGATCAGTTGCAGACCGGATCAAAACTGCGTCCAATGTATTCCAATGGTATTTTTTGCTCTCGTTCACATCGCAGCGTGCAGTTGCAGAGCAGATCCAGAGCAGGTGAAAAAACTGCAGCAGGCCCTATTTTACCTGCTCTGGAACGCATCAAAAACGCATGCAAATGCCTGGAACCCACTGAAAGCCCATTTTAAACTTAACAAAAACAAAGAAAATAAATACTAGAACCCTACCTACATCCTTCAGCCACCCTACTGACTGATTTGTGATCCACAACCTTAACCACTGCTTGGAGAGTGAGAATGAATAGCAGGGAGTGTGGATTGGGGCCACCTACAAGGCCTTGCATCAAACCCAACACACCAACCACTCTGTTATTCAGTAGTGCACAGCTGCCATGCATGAAATGTAGTTCTGCCAGGAATCCCACACACTAGGACTACAAATTTAGAACATAAGGTGTTATAAAATTATTAAGCAGTTGTGAATATGGTGCTTTATAATTGATAGGGGCCCAGAAATGGTGATTATGTCTTTGCCTTTGGATGGGCAAGTTTCCAAAATGTTATGTGCATTCTGTCATCCACCATCCTTGCAGACAGACCTTTTGGCTCAGTTCACAAATTTTAATACACCAGCCAGGATAAGGACCCTTACTTTCAAAACAAGTAGCAATTCTTGTCTGCTCCAGAATGCAGTGAAGATTTAAAAATGATAATCATATGGTTAAAAATAAGGATCCTTATCTTTCAGTTTGGACTTGTTGAGTTGAGCCTTTCGTTTTCCTCCATTATTTGTTTTCTCTAATTATGACGTTATGCTGAAGTAACATTTAATTCTAGTTCTCTATCCTTCTAGGCTACCTGTTACATTTTATTTTTTATTAAACTGATTGGCTACTCTTCATATAGGTACAGTAAAAAAAAAAAGACTGGCTGTCATGTCATTGTTCTAGAGATAACTGGCAGTGCGTTTTTACGTTCCCTTACAAAGTTGGTTTTGTCCTGTATACTGTTACATTCTCTGTTTTTCTGCTCTACGCTGACTCTGTGACCTTGTTTACTTAAAGCGATTATTTCCTTTACAGCAACCGCACAGGTTCAAAGTCCCGGCCAGCTTCCACCAAACAGCGGTTTCTGATTATCCTAATAATCGGTGTGTTAGGCTTCCTTACCCTAATTTTACTTATGTCCAAATGGGGTAGAGCATCGGCTGAAAACGACCCGAATCTTGACCCACTACTCAATCCTCACATCCGGGTCGGACAAGAGTAGATGATACTTCACCATTCCAGAGGAAAAGACAGCCTTGGACTATGTCCCCATTTGAAATCCCTGCTATACAAGGCCTATGAATCATGATGTATCAACTGATCATCTGATTCTGGAAGTACAAGTAATGTTTGTAACAGGGGGGCCTTGACTTACTCAACATCATTTTCTTCAAGTCCCTTCGGGCTTGGTACTGAAAGAAAAAAACAAAAACAAAAAAGAAAGTGTTGGTCCAGTTGTGATGGCCAAGGTGTGTATTGCTTAGACCAGGACAGACAATGACCATACTTCTATAACTGTTGCTTCAGGGATTGTGTGGCTCCCTGTAACTGTTTTGTGCCTTTTAGAAATGGCACAAGAACAACAGTCTGCCGAATCAACAACCAGAAAGGGCTGCAGAGCCTGAAAACAACTAAAGACCTTGTGTATACCATTCATCCTTATTTTCAGTCTAATTTTACAATAACGGTTTTTTTGTGTCTAATAAAAACAGAAGTCAAAAGAATTTAAAATCCAAAGTGGAAGTCAGACCCATAAATGTTTTGTGTACAACAATTTTAATGACCAGCCTGTAATACATTCCTTTTTCTGTTTCTGATTTTTGCTCTTTTTGCCATTTGCCAACAGTGTGATAACAGTGAAGGAATAAGTAATACAGGGTTCATTAGATAAGGGCATTGTGACCGGCAGTTGTATACTTTTTATGAGTTTCAGTTAAATAATACAAGTTTCTTTCTGACAGGATCAAATACTAACAAACACTACAGGACAGAATGGCATCAATAATGATTAAATACAATTATCCTAGTGACACTGCTGCTTTGTATATGTTTGGTGGTAAAAATCAGGTGTCCTCTTTCAAATAAACTAGGATTCTGAGTGAGGTGGACAATCGCATTTCGGTCTTCATACATCTGTCCAATTAAAGGGTCAATTTGCCCTATTAAAAGGGCTAAAAACCAATAGTTCAGTTTTTTGGTAGATGGAGAGTTAATCCACTTAACAATTTCTTACATCTCTCACAGACCCTATTGGTGAGAACTCCATGCTTTAAGTCCTCGGTGGTCATTATGAGGAGCTTCCACTCTCAAACTTTTATATTAACTTTAAAATTATGTAAAATGCAACAGAAGAAGCTGGTAGATGATGGAAGGGAGTAGGGATGCACAGATACGTTTTTTTGGTATCGAGTATGGATATTTTTTTCTCGGTACTCTCCGATACTGGAAGTTCCCATAAGAAAGCCAGGCGGCATGTAATGACTTCCTGATTGGCCGGGAAGCCGGCTCCATGCTCCCTCGTCACCAGATAGCAAGGAAGCATGGAGCTTGCTCTCTGGCCAGTCAGGAAGTTGGGGGGGGCGGTTGCGGGTAATGACTTGCCGGCCTGCCTCTTAATTGGCCAGCTTCCCGACCATTCAGGAAGCCAGGTGACAAGTCATTACACTCCCCCCAGCTTCCTAATTGGCTGGGATGCCAGCTCCCTGATGACGGCTTGTCGGCCAACCAGGAAGAAGGGCGGTGTGTAATGACTCTCCGCCAGGCTTCCTGATCTCCAACTGGACAAGAACAGAGTGGGGATTATGGTAGGTAGATCTTTCTGTCTGAGAATTAAAGATATATTAGAAGTAAGGGGCTGACCAGACTTTGACCCTATAACCAAAATATAATTTCTGAGTGAACTGACCATATAATGTTGGTGGCATTATTTAAAAGGTCAAGGTATTGTCTTAAAGGCAACTTGGATTCCAGGGGATTTCTGACAATAGGACCAATGAAAACTGGAACAAAGGTAGAAATGTTGCACATTACTAGATTCAGTTTTTTCAAAATGTATAAAGTACTGCAATAATACAATATCATAATTCAGCCTCACATGTCATTCCTCTGTGCATTGAGGAGAGGATGCTAAAGCCTGATTACCAATTTTTTATTAATCTTCCCCCCCTTCTGAGAGAGAGAGAGGTGTGTGTGTGTCAGGTGCAACCAGGTTTGGTCACAAGCACACCATGATTTGCGTGTTTGTCCACACAACTTTGCATATAGTCCCAGGGCTACTGTCACAATAGGATACCAATTTCTATCTTGGAAGAGACAGGGCTTTGCTCCCTCATGTCAGAGCCTCCGGCAATTTAAACGGTGTACAGCACAGGAATGAGATCACCACATCTCACTCCATATCCGCTATGAGGCTGTAGGAATCAGAGGGCCTAGGCACCCTCGCATACCAGGAAATGTATTGCTATATTTCAGTAGGAGTTTCACAAAACATACATTTTTAAAGGTACTACTTTGGCAAAATTAACATTTCTGATGGTTTACTGTAAATGTTAAAATGACACTAAGCTCAGGCGTTGAATCTTAAAAATATATTCAAGCACCTTAACTATCAACAATACTGTACTTTATTTGTGTATCACTTAGCTGTAGATCCTCAAATCATCTCTGAATTGGTGCTGACACCGTCCTTCCTTCTGGAGGGTGGCTACTTTTGTTTGCCATGGTCCCTGTGTGTGTTGTAGGCTCTGCTCCAAGCTCACTCCTGTGATGGACTAAATATTAGCTAACTAAACATAAGATTGTAGTCCAGCACTGGAGCGAGCTTGGAGCGGTGGCTACTTTACAACACACACACAGGGATCATGTGGAGCAAAAGTAGCCACCCTCCAGAAGGAAGGAATAGTGTGAGCATACACAAAAAAAGCCAAATTTTTGTTAATGGGGTACTTTAATTAATTTTGAAGAGGGGCATACACATACCGATTTGTGATCAATGTAGGTACAAGCGATTGCAAACAAGCAATTCCATTAAAATACTGAGCCATGCAACACATACAGTGTCCAATAAAAATTTTTTAATGTATTACAACCGATCTATTAAAAACTGATCATTTAATCGATCTGTATTATGATCAGCTGTCTGATACACATGCAAGTATTCCTTTGATCGATGAGAATCGAATGATAACATTCTGTGGTGGCCAATCAACCTGCCAGTGTTGAAAACTACGTAAAGCTTACTAAATTGATCTAATGCAGTGTCTGTAGTTTACTATTCTTATTCAATTGATTATTATAGTCGATCATATCTATACGTGTGTTGCCACCTTAAAACGTCATATTGGTGTCCATGCTCCGATGGCACTTACATTTTCACCTTTACACTTGATATCTTACATTTTAAAGACATCTCTGCAAAAGATGCTAGGGCATTTTTTTTTTTTTTTTAAACTCTGTCAAACCTTACATTCCAAATTCATAGTGATAAACCCTTCTAATTATCACAGGTTTAAAATCTTTATTTACACACAATACATGTATTTTGTTTCTATTTTAAATCCTTTCACTTCAAATTATATTGAAAGGCAAACTTTTTTTTTGGAAAGTGTAAGAAATGGTTAAAATCCTTAAAAGTTTGTTTTTGCCTTCTCTGTGCCATAGGGGAGATTTCCCTTTACATCCTGTAATGTTGTTACAACAGGAAGTGGAAGGAAATCTCTCCAAAGTTAGGAAATGTTCCTTATGCTCCTATGTTCTCATGACCGTTCAACATTTTAGATTTTCCCTTACTTTCAGCTTCAGTGATGATGATCATCGGGGCAAATAGGGGGAATCTCACTAGCAGGGACACAAGTCGCAGTAAAAACCTGACGGTGGTTGTAGCTCCTCTAGCCAAAACTGAAACAAAAAAGTTTTGTCTTTAGATACACCTCAAAAGTAGTGTGAAACTATAAAAAAAAATGTTTTAATAATGAATCCAGATTAAAAAAAATATACATAGCATTACTTTACATTTTTCCCCACACACTTACAACCATGTTTCTGAACTCAGTTCTGCTTCCCTAAACCTGCTGTCCAGTACAAAATCAAAGGACAGAGCAGACTCCAGCAACTGTTTATCTACTAGCTTGGGGAAGGGAGGAGAGTTGGCCAGGGAAGAAGGAAGTAGCTTGATTTGCTGTGTTTGTTTATTTGTAGAGACACACACCACTTACTAGCACACACAAGGGTGACTGCATAGCACTCTGCTTGAGAAAGGAGTCACTCTAAAACAGGAAGTCAGGACTAGTGCTCAGGAGATCAGCTGATTCTGCAGGAAACGAAAACTTGTAAACATCAAGGAGCAGCATCCATTGTAAGTGATTTCATCAGCATTCTGAATAGCTTAAAATCCTTTTGACTTTAATAACAGTCTACTACAGTTAAAGTGATATGTGGCTAAAGGCACAATATGCACTCGAAGATTCTATTTTGGTAATACATTCATCCAGTATAATGCCAGATTATTTGCTAGGTACACTCTTTACAGTAATATAATAGGCACAGTCTGGGGCAAGATTTAATATATCCGGGTTGGGTTTGTGTAACCCTCTGCCTATAGTTGGGTACCCCTGATGTGTTGCAAGCCTGATGTAATCAAGTCAGTATTCTAGTGTTGGTAGATACCTGCATAGGGCCTGTTATGGATATCTAAAATTGTTAGGTGGAGTATAAAAGATGATTTAACTGAATTTGTGCTCAGACTATGCAAAATAAAATATTTACATATTCTGAAAAAGCAGTAAAAGCACTTTAAAACAAGTTCCAATTTACCTATGTAGCTATAGACATAATGGAAAAATTCCTCTTCAAAAGTTCACAGCAGAGGCACTGAAATCTTAGCTCCTTTCCTATGACGTTCTATTGCAGGAGAATCTTGGCTGGCTGTCAGTCCGCTAATATAAACACACCGCAGGTATTTCTGAGCTTAGAAACCGACTTTGCTGTGATTGTTAAGAATGGATTACTTCACAGTACAAGCTATAAAGGCCAAGAATGGCTTGTCTTAAAGCTCTTTCACTGCTTGTTAACAATATTTAAAGTATTTAAAAATGGTGTAAATGATTGAATTTGGTTCTGAACTTCAGACATATAAAAAAAAAACAACAACATTGAATCCAGGTATTTATTTCGAATCATTTAGTGTATTATAAAAGTTGTATTAGTTCCTGAATCTGTCTAGGTATTGGCCTCCACTGCATACACAGCAGCATTCGGACTGGGAATCGGAAGGTCAGCACAAATCAGGGTTTAATTGTTTTGCACAATATCAGTTAGTCGTTTCACTGCTGCCCCTTTCATGTCTGATCATAGACTTGAATGGGACCTGGACCAACCTGTATTGCTCATCTGCAGTGAGGGCTGACAATCTGTTAATAGTTACTGTTGATGAAATAGCACAAAATAATTTATTTCATACCCGTTTATACTTAAGGCTGTCCTGTTGAAACTAGGTTCACTCTTTTAAAAAGCAATACACACATCAACTGATTTTACTGTGGGCAATTAAAATTAACATGCTTGTATGCTTTGTACCGGACAGAGCAGATGTGTAATGTGATACAGTCCCATGTGGCGTCTTTTACTGCCT